GAAATTGTAGCAATAATTTTGGAACAGTCTCCTAAAGCAAGAAATAAAAGCAAAAATAAACAAATGGGACCAATTTAACCTAAAAGCTTTTTCATGGCAAAGTAAACCACTGACAAAGCGAAAAGACAATCTATGGATTGGGGGAAAATATTTGCAAAAGATGTGACTGACAATGGGTTAGTGTTCAACATATACAAACAGCTCGTACAACTCAATATCAAAAAACAAACAACCTGATTAAAAAATGGGCAGAAGACCTAAATAGTCATTTTTCCAAAGAAGACATACAAATGGCCAACAGACACAGGAAAAGATTCTCAACATTATTAATCTTCAGAGAATGCAAATTAAAACCACAATGGGTTATCACCCCACACATGTCAGAATGGCTATTGTCAAAAAGAACACAAATAACAAATGCTGGTGAGGTTGTAGAGAAAAGGGGACCCACTGCTTCTGGGAGTGTAAATCGGTGCAGCCACTGTGGAAAATATTATGGAGGATTCTCAAAAAACTAAAAATAGAACTACCGTATGACCCAGCAATTCCGCTCCTGTGTATATATCTGGAAAAAACAAAAACACTAGTTTGTAAAGATACATGCACCCCAGTATTCATAGCAACATTATTTACAGTAGTCAAGATATGGAAGCAACCTAAGGGTCCATCAGCAGATGAATGGGTAAAGAAGGTTACTTAGCCATAAAAAAGAATGAAATTTTACCATTTGCAGTAACATGGATGGACTTGGAGGGTATTATGCTAAGTGAATTAAGTCAGACAGAGAAAGGCAAATACTGTATGATATCACTTATATGAAGAATCTAAAAACTACAGCAAACTGGTAAATATAACAAAAATGATGCAGACTCACAGATATAGAGGACAATCTAGTGGTTACCAGTGGAAGGAGGGAAGGTTGGAAGGGCAATATAAGGGTAAGGGATTAAGATGTACAAACTATTATGTATAAAATACGCTACAAGGATATATTGTACAACACAGCGAATGTAGCCAATACTTTATAATACGTATAAATGGAGTATAACCTTTAAAAATTGTGAACCACTATATTGTACACCTGTAACTTATATAATACTGTACATCAACTATATCTCAATTTTTAAAAAGATATGAGGCAAAAGAAAAAGATAAATTGGAATATGTAAAAATTAAAAATTCTGTGCATCAAAGGACAGAATCAACAAAGTGAAAAGGCAACTCATGGAATGGCAAATTGTATACCTGATAAGAGATCATATTCAGAATGTATTAAAAAAAAAACTCCTGTAACACAGCAACAAAAAAGACAGCCAGCTGATTAAATTGTGGACAAAAGGACATGAATTCCTCCAAAGAAGATACACAAATGGCCAATAAGCACATGGACAGGTGCTCAACATCACTAATCATTAGGGAAACACAAATAAAAGCCACAATGAGGGCTTCCCTAGTGGCACAGTTTTTAAGAATCTGCCTGCCAATGCAGGGGACATGGGTTTGAGCCCTGCTCTGGAAAGATCCCACATGCCGCAGAGCAACTAAGCCCGTGCACCACAACTACTGAGCCTGCGCTCTAGAGCCTGCGAGCCACAACTACTGAGCCTGAGTGCCACAACTATTGAAGCCCGCACGCCTAGAGCCTGTGCTCTGCAACAAGAGAAGCCACCGCAATGAGAAGTCTGCGCACCGCAACGAGGAGTAGCCCCCGCTCGCTACAACTAGAGAAAAGCCCGCATGCAGCAACGAAGACCCAACGCAGCCAAAAATAAAAATAAATAAATAAATTTATATTAAAAAAAAACGACAATGAAATAACCCTTCACACCCATTAGGATGGCTACTAACATAAAAACAGAAAATGACAAGTGTAGGTAAGGATGTGGAGAAATTGGAGCTCTAGTACACTCTGGGTGGGAGTGTGAAATTACATAGCCACTGTGGAAAACAGTATGGCAGTTCCTCAAAAATTTAAACATAGAATTACTATATGATCTAACAATTTCACTTCTGGATATATACCCTAAAGAATTGAAAGCAGGGACTTGAACAGATACTTGTACACCTGTGTTCATTGTAGTATTATTTGCAATAGCTAAAAGGTGGAAGTAACCTAAATGTCCATCAATGGATGATGAATGGATAAACAAAATGTGGTATATACCTACAATAGAATATTATCTGGCATTAAAAAAGGAGGGATGGGCTTCCCTGGTGGTGCAGTGGTTGAGAGTCCGCCTGCCGATGCAGGGAACACGGGTTCATGCCCCGGATCCTGTCCTCTGCAACGGGAGAGGCCACAACAGTGAGAGGCCCGTGTACCGCAAAAAAAAAAAAAAAAAAAAGGAGGGAAATTCTGGCACATTCTACAGCATAGGTGAACTTTGAGGACATTATGCTAGTGAGATAAGTCAGTCACAAAAGGACAAACACTGGATGATTGCACTTCTATGAGGTGTCCAATATAGTCAAACTCAGAAACAGAAAGTAGAATGTGCTGCCAAGGGATGGGGAGTATTGTTTGATGGATACAGAGTTTCGGTTTTGTAGGATGAAAAAGATGGTTGTAGGATCCATGTGGAGATGGATGGTGGTGATGGTTGTATAGCAACATGAAAGTACTTAATGCCACTGAACTGTATATTTAAAAATGATTAAAATGGTAAATTTTGTTTTATGTATGTTTTACCACAATAAACAACAACACAGTGACAATAGTAGCACAAGAAGCAGAAGTGAGTAAATGGAATCAAATTCTTACAGTGTTCTTGGGTTGCTAATAAGGTGGTAAATGTACTAACTTAAGGTAGACTGTAAAGAGTTAAGTATGCATAACTATTAAAAGAATTATTAAAGAATGTATAATTTAAAAGGTAATAGAGAAGATAAAATGACCAATACTAGATTAATCTTAAAGGGTCCAAGAAAGATAAGAATGAGAAAATATTCTATAGTTACATAAAATTCAAAATATTCTTTGTCATAAAGCAGGTTCTGATAAATAAATACATTGAGAACATCCACAAAGTATCATTCTTATTCTTTTATCCATGGGGAGAAAGTTATAAAAAAAATTTTTTATTATGTTTTTTCCCTTACCAAAAGATTCTTTTAAGAACCTTGACTTCAAAGATTTTTGCACTCGTCCATGAAACCGGCTATCTTAATTAACAATCTGCTATGCCAGAAATAAAACTTAGACATGACTTCTTCTGAATTTATACATTGTTCTAAGTTTCTTTGTTAAGACTTTGGCATTTATTCTTTCTCCCTTTATGCTTTTCATGCTCTTTCTTACTGGAAGTGCTTAAAGATCTGTCATCTTTCATAGTCTTTAACTTATGTTTTACTATATATAACTTATGTTTTACTATATTTAGCTTATGTTTTTCCTTATTTCTTAGGTCTGTACTCTGTAAGCCTTTCTATTCTATGGTCATCTTTTCTACATCTTCTTCTTTCTTACTGTATTCTGGGAGAGTTCCTCATTCTGGTCTTCCAAGTGCCTAATTCTTTGCGCATCTTTTTCAAGAAATACGTATAATATTTCATCTATTGTGGGCTGTTTTTATTTGTTATATTTTATACCAAATATTCCCACCTGTTTATTTTTTATTATTTTGTTTCAACTTGCATGTTTAATTATCTCTTTATATTTTCATTCTTGCTTCAGACACCATGAGGACAGCGGTCAGGCTACGGTATCCTAAGGTCCAGCAGTGCCTTAAATACAGGACTTTTAAAATAAATATTTGTTGGCGAAATTAAAGAAGGGTTTGGAGACGAGAGAAAGAAGAAAACACAATATGGGTATGGAAGAAATGTAACTTTCTTTATGATATTTTTATAATATTAATCAATCACCCTTTTCAGGCCTCATCCTACCAGTTTGTTAGGAATCAGTAATCAATCCTTATGAGCATACATTTTCCAACCCCTGTTTTTTCCCAGGAAGGGAAAAAGAGGAAAGGAAGGGAAGGAGCAGGGAAAAGAATTGACCTATCCTCTTTCTTTTCTGAAGCAACTTGGGTATTCAGTGAAAGCACTAGGTTCTGTAACAACCTGCAGGATGTATGTGCTAGAACCGTACAAGCGGAAGACCTGAGCGTGTGTGAGGAGGAGGTGGAGGGTGAGGAAAGGCATCTGGTCATGGGGACAGCTCTCCACAGAGGTTGCTGCTGAGATGTCTAGTGGACAGACCCACATGGCTTCTTCAGACCCCACAGATCTCAGCTTCCTCCATGCCATGCTGCAGGCATGGGAATATTTATGTGACTACTTCTGGTCTCATCCCCTTGGAAGCATACTACAGCTCTTCCCTGTCTAGGGGTTGATGCCTTCCTATGAGTTTGCCAGGGAAGCAGAGTGCAAATACTATCTCTAGAATTCCAGGCATGCCTTCTCCTTTTCTTCTCCAACCCCCAACTCCATAGAGAGTCTCATTCTACAAGGCAGAAAATCTTTTTCTCTTCATGGCTCCGGTACAAATTTCTTTCTATATTCTGCCCTGCTCCTCTCTCGGAGAATAGTATTCATGAACAAAATTTATGAAGACTTAAGTCATCTCTTTTCACGTTGCCCCCTCCCTCCCCATGAGGTCAGAGTTATACGCTTTAATTGGAGTGAGATAAGAAGAACAATACCAAGAGAAAAAAATGAAAATATTCTGTCACAGAAGGAAGGGAAGGAGCAGGGAAAAGAACTGACCTATCTTCTTCCTTTTCTGAAGCAACTTGGGTATTCAGTGAAAACACTAGGTTCTGTAATAACCTGCAGGATGTGTTGATCTTGTATTCAAGGTGTTCCCTACCCCTCACCCTGCCAGGGGCCAAGGCAGAGAATCTATTGATAGAAAAAGAGAGGGCTTTTTCTTACATATGCAGAAGGCAGAGCCATATGTTTGCAATCTGAAATGTGTGTTTTTAGAAAATCATTGTGAAGAGGTGGCACCAACAATGTCACCCACCCAGAGACTGGAGCCAGAAAAGGACCAGTCATTTCTAGAGGTCTTCGTTGCACAAGTCACGTCTTCTGCAGCACCTGAAGTTTACCAGATAGACCCTCCATTATATTGTTCACATTAGCACAGTTCTTTAGGCAGCCCCTAAAGGTTAACCAGGGTGTACCATTATCTGCAGAAGGAGGAGAAACAGGTCAGCAAAGAGGTTTCTGGAAAAGCAAACAAACAAAAAAACACCTTCTTTCCAGCCTGCACCAGCATACAAAAACAACCTTGTGTAGTTCAAGGCTCGGTTATTCAAATGTGAAGAATCAGAAGATGTTGGAATTTGGGGGTTTCCCAAAAGAAAAGCAATAGCAGAGTAGTTAAAAAAAAATTCCTGGATGTGGGGATGTAATGACAGCAGCAATTCAAGGATTGCCCAAGTTGGATGTTTCCACTGGGAATGGTAACCCTGGTTTAAGTAAGGGTTAGAAACACTAAGGAATCGCTCAGCACAAAGGCTAGGAAAACTGAGAAATCATGATGTTTAGTCTTACCCATGAAGAGCCATTTAGTCAATATTTATTGCTAACACTGGCCCCTCTATTTTCACAGTTTAAAACCACCCACAAGGAGGTCCAGGCAGGGACAAAGACAAAGAACTGCCCTCCTCACTCCAACATCCAGCTGTTCTCCACTGGCCGTATTGTGCCTCTCCTTTCCCCTCAGGTAAGTCTCCTCTGTTTTCTTCAGGCTTCTCAAAATATTGATTCCATAGCTACAGACCCCCACCCCTTAGAGACTACCTCTATCTGTTTTTCATTATGGCATGCGATGGGGTAGAGATAGTCAGTCATCCCAGAGTTGAGACTGCCTGAGCTAAAGTAAGGTCCCACCTTTTTACTATGACTAATGTATTCCTGTCTGCTTCCTCTGCCCCTTCCTCCTTCCCCAAACCCACAACTTACTTCTGAAAATCCTCCCAGTTGTGCAAGCCTCTTCCATTGTTGCAGTACATATTCCTCTGCCTCTGGAACACTTCTCACCTGGAAACTGGAGGTGGCACATCCTACACTGAATAATTTCTATAATTTGGGCCAGAGAGTAGGGAAGTCGAAGTGAGAGAGGGTCTCACACTACTATGAAAGGACCCACCTGCCCTTTCAAATTTGAAGTCTGCTGGGAGCCCCGAGGGCTTTGTCAGAGATTCATTAAACATGGGAATCTACCTCTATTAAAATAGGCTAAGTCAAAAGAGGGGCTAAAGTTTATGGTCTCAGAAGTTTTAGCCTGTAAAACAGGTGGAGGGTTAAGGAAAAGGGGAACAAAATCAAAACTGAGATAATCAGGTCTGGTCCTCTTCATACTCACCAGGAATATGGTATTCACCAACAAATAGTTCATGGACTGTGCTGGCAAAGAGAAATAAAACATATCTGCAATTTTCTCTAAGATTTACCCTTGCCTAGGGTCACTGTAAGCCTTGTAACACATGAGGCCCATCCTGCTCTCTTAACCTGGAGCCACTCTAGGCTCTTATGTCCCTCCAAAGCCTAGTCCCCCCGTCTCGTGGCATATCTGCACCTCTCCCTCTTTTCAATTCTCTTCACCTCTAGAGGGCCTCTCAGCCTCCCCTGCCCATCTCTTAGGATACAGCACAGACTCAAAGGAAAAAGATAAATGCACATTTTTTGTGTGTGTGCCTCATTCCCTTCTTTTTAATTGACCTATGTGACTTTCTTACCTACATGTGCCTGGAAGCTGACAAGGGGGAAAGCATCTGAAATCCATGAAATTGCTACACTTTGGATTTAGCCAGCTAGTGCCTTAAAAATCAACATTCCACTTCCCCCTTTCCCTTTTTCTTGCTTTTTAATACACTCATCCTTAGCCTTGTCAACTGCTGCTCATGTTTTTTCATCAAACTTAAAATCAGCTCCCATCCCAGCCCAGTCCTGCTGGAAGAAGTTGTTGAGTGTTGAAATTCAAGGTCTATCTCTGGATTCCTTTCAACCCTCAGTGCTCAGCCTGCCCCTTTCATCTCCTCCCTCCCCCCAAATTCCCCATCCCACACCACTGATCCATTTCTACTCACTTCCATGTTCTTTGTCTGCAAATGACCCGTACAGTACTGTTGGGAAAAAAAAAAAAAAAAAAAAAAGACACACTCTCTGAAGACCTCATTTTAAAAACCTCACCTCACAGCTTCTGTGAAAATCTTTGCAATTCCTTTATAATCTACCTGTTTCCTTCTGCAAGGGCAGACTAAGACTTTGGTGAATGTCCCAGGGACATGATGTGTTGTGGACAAAAGTCATGGCATCAGAATGACAGCTTCTGTTACCATATGGCTCTCATAAGAGAACTTCTGTCATGTGAACCCCGACCCATTCCAGGATCCTGGACACGTCTCTCCAACTGTCAACCATAGGGACTCCCCTCTAAAGCAGCAGAGGAGGGTGGGGAGCCCTAGCAGGAGGGAGTTGTCCATCTTGGAGGGAGAAAACAGCAGGTTAGAGCAGGAAGCTGCAAGGTGCCCGTTTATATATCTACCAGGTTGGGCTTCCCCAGGAAGGGCTAGGGGTGGGGACATTGCGGAAGTCCTTCAAAGGCATTTCCTGCTCCTAGGGAAACCAGGGACTCTAAAATTTTTTCTTTTTGGCAAATTGTGGGGAAGAGGGACTGCTTGGGTAAGTCCTGGACCCAATTTATTTCAGTCCTAGCATCCAGGATTTTTGATTCAGGATTTCTGTGGTCTTTTCATTATACCACGCTGTGGGAGAATACAAGGATAAATCCAGGCTAGGTGGGTTGGATTCAGAGCCATTTACACTGAGATGCTCATTCAAGCTGAGAGAATATATGAGTGTAAATAATTGGAATGCAGGAAGTCCAAAAGAGGGCTTAAGCACAGAGCCTTTAAAACTCAGTACTATAGGGAATGGAGAAGAGAGGTGGAGAGGTTAGATTCAGACGCATTGACAGAGGATACTCATGAAGGAAGTAGTTTCCTGCTGTCAATCATCCTGGAACAAATTAAACCCTGGGGTAGAAAATGAGAGCTGAGGAGGAAGCTGCTTCCCGTACTTGGAGTTCCCGGTGGTTGAGAATTAGACTTTTACTAAGAGAGAGGTTTGAGATTACTTCACCTGGAGTGAGGTAAGCTGGTCCTTCCCACTTGATGTCGAGCCAGGAATTGCGGGGGGGCGGGGGTGTTAGCTCAACTCTGAGAGTGACTAGGTAATCAATTAGGGTGGTGATTGAATGTAAAATTCCTGTAGAGGGGATTGAGCCTGTGGATTCTAAGAACAGCCATATTTAGTATCTCATTCTAAGTTTTCTGTTAGTTTCCTTCAGTTATTCCTATACCTTCCAAAAATTGTGATGGGAGTTGCAGCTTAGTCTCTGCTGTCATTGCAAGGAGTTGAAGGAAGGGTCTGTGCCCATGCTTAGGGCAAAGAAATACAGGGGAAAGAAACAGCAACCTGAAGGAAGCAGACTGCAATAGAGCACACTCTAGGTCTACAGAAAAGTGGGGTAGTAGTCTAAGACAGATGTTGGCTGAAGAGGCAGGGACAGCAAGAGTGACATATGGAAGAGATGCTCTCCAGAATATACTGGGGGTTGTTACTACACGCCCAAAGAGCAAATGGACATTTCCATACAGGGAGGAAGGAGGAAGGGGATATAACTAGTTAACTGCTTACCTGTGGCACCTAGGACTCTGGTGAAGCTTTGAAATAATACCATGAAGTAATCATGTATTACTCTCTAACACACACACACACACACACACACACACACACACACACACTCACTCTACATCACTTGTTTTTGTGTTCTGCTTATTCACTAGATGATCTGTCCCTTTCCATCCTCTCAATGCCCTGAAATTTAGCATCTTCTCTTACACTTTTACATTTCTTTCTTCGACTTTTTGAGATCTCCCCTCCTTGCCTTCTAGGAATTCCGTAGTTAATTCTTTGACTAATGGTGGCACACACGAAAGAAGGGAAGGTTTTCTTCCTCTGCCCCACAAGAAACTGTCTCCTCACTTAATTACACTCCGATGATATTATTTTACCACTTCCCCTAAAGCAGAAATTTCCCCCTCTCAGCTTTACTGATCCATCTGAATTACTTGCTTATATTTGAACCCTATTTTATTGACTTACTTTTCTCCTAAAATCTCCTCAAATTCACACTCCCAGTCTTAGTATCCCATAATACCTGATTTTCTTACTGGGCCACATTCGATACCTTTTCTCAGTGCTCCTAATCCTTTTTTCCTATCCTCTTAGGGTACCCCAAAATAATTATTCTTATGTCATAAATTACAGACCCATGACTTAAAAGTGTTCAGGAATGAATTCCTTTTGCCTATTGCCCCAAACCTCATGTGGAGTCTGTATGACCCCTTTACTCATGCTACCCTTCTCTCCATCACAGGGTTCTGGAGGTCCAGTTAGTCCAGAAGAGTAGCCCTGGATTTTCCTCAGCTCTGCGAGTGACTAGGTGAGTACTCAATTACATCTTTATGTATATGATTAGAAGATGTTTAGATTATGCACTAGGATTTTTGGTTTGCACCTCCAACGTTACCATGCAAAACAATAAATTGATGTTTCTTGAATGGAAATCCACTTTCCAATCGGTTACCATTATTTTCAAAAGACATAGATCTACTCTCCATGGTGAATACAGTAAAAATATCCTGAAATTCATTGGTCATAGAGGTATTTTCACACAGTGACATTTTTGGATAGGTTAATGGAGCTGGTGGTGAGTGCCAAGATTTGATTTGAGGAAAGAGATCTCACCTTAGGCAGATGCCACATGTGATGAGGAAGGTCAACAAGATGAAGAACCACAGTTACTGTTCCAAGGCAGCTCAATGACCTTAAGCTCCTGGGGTTTTCCCAGTACCCATAGGATTTATACCAGTGATCTGGCAGGAAAAGAACAATTTCTTCTAGATCAGGGTTTGAAGGAACAGTCAGATCAGAAAATCTTGTCTCTTTTTCCTCAAGCAAGGGAGCAGCTCAGTTCTGGGTGACTGAGACTACATGAAACCAGAGAAGTTCTACCCTCTTGAGGGATGTGAAAATGAAAATTTCAGACAATATGTGCAGATCCAAGAAAGAACATGAAAGAAGTGTCTCTGAGGAGATCTTCTGTGCGTATTCTTTTCTACCATGAGACCCAGCATCCCCGAGGATTGGCTGGGAGTCTCAGAATTGTTCAATACATCCACAGTTCCCTAGATAGTTCATTCCTAGAGTGCTGGGGGCTGGAGAAGGTAACGTGGATGTTAAAGTAACTAGGGAGGCAGTCAACAATGAAGAATAATCTACCCATTGTTCCTGTATAGCTTACAGTTCAAATAAAATGTTCTGTATTTTCAGTGTGCTGTTTCAACGACTCTACTATCACCAGGAGAGCTCTATTTATTTATTTATTGACTTTTTGAATTTTATTTTATTTTTTATACAGCAGGTTCTTATTAGTTATCCATTTTGCACATATTAGTGTATATATGTCAGTCCCAATCTCCCAATTCATCACACCACCACCACCCCTGCTGCTTTCCCCACTTGGTGTCCATACGTTTGTTCTCTACATCTGTGTCTCAATTTCTGCCCTGCAAACCGGTTTATCTGGACCATTTTTCTAGTTTCCACATATATGCGTTAATATACGATATTTGTTTTTCTCTTTCTGACTTACTTCACTCTGTATGACAGTCTCTAGATCCATCCACGTCTCTACAAATGACCCAATTTCGTTCCTTTTTATGGCTGAGTAATATTCCATTGTATATATGTACCACTTCTTCTTTATCCATTCGTCTGTCGATGGGCATTTAGGTGGCTTCCATGACCTGGCTATTGTAAATAGTGCTGCAATGAACACTGGAGTGCATGTGTCTTTTTGAATTATGGCTTTCTCTGGGTATATGCCCAGTAGTGGGATTGCTGGGTCGTATGGTAATTCTATTTTAAGTTTTTGAAGGAACTTCCATACTGTTCTCCAGAGTGGCTGTATCCATTTACATTCCCACCACCAGTGCAAGAGGGTTCCCTTTTCTCCACACCCTCTCCAGCATTTATTGTTTGTAGATTTTCTGATGATGCCCATTCTAACTGGTGTGAGGTGATACCTCATTGTAATTTTGATTTGCATTTCTCTAATAATTAGTGATGTTGAGCAGCTTTTCATGGGCTTCTTGGCCATCTGTATATCTTCTTTGGAGAAATGTCTATTTAGGTCTTCTGCCCATTTTTTGATTGGGTTGTTTGTTTTTCTAATATTGAGCTGTTTATATATTTTGCAGATGAATCCTTTGTCCATTGATTCGTGTGCAAATATTTTCTCCCATTCCGAGGGTTGTCTTTTCAGCTTGTTTCCTTTGCTTTGCAAAAGCTTTTAAGTTTCATTAGGTCCCATTTGTTTAGTTTTGTTTTTATTTCCATTACTCTAGGAGGTGGATCAAAAAAGATCTTGCTGTGACTTATGTCAAAGAGTGTTCTTCCTATGTTTTCCTCTAAGAGTTTTATAGTGTCTGGTCTTACCTTTAGGTCTCTAACCATTTTGAGTTTATTTTTGTGTATGGTGTTAGGGAGTGTTTTAATTTCATTCCTTTACATGTAGCTGTCCAATTTTCCCAGCACCACTTATTGAAGAGATTGTCTTTTCTCCATTGTATGTCCTTGCCTCTGTTATCATAGATTAGTTGACCATAGGTGCATGGGTTTATCCCTGGGCTTTCTATCCTGTTCCATTGATCTATATTTCTGTTTTTGTACCAGTACCATATTGTCTTGATTACTGTAGCTTTGTAGTATAGTCTGAAGTCAGGGAGTCTGATTCCTCCAGCTCTGATTTTTTCCCTCAAGACTGCTTTGGCTATTTGGGGTCTTTTGTGTCTCTGTACAAATTTTAAGATTTTTTGTTCTAGTTCTGTAAAAAATGCCATTGGTACTTTGATAGGGATTGCATTGAATCTGTAGATTGCTTTGGTTAGTATAGTCATTTTCACAATGTTGAGTCTTCCAATCCAAGAACATGGTATATCTCTCCATCTGTTGGTATCATCTTTAATTTCTTTCAGCAGTGTCATAGTTTTCTGCATACAGGTCTTTTTTCTCCCTAGGTAGGTTTAATCCTAGGTTATTTTATTCTTTTTGTTGCAGTGGTAAATGGGAGTGTTTCCTTAATTTCTCTTTCAGATTTTTCATCATTAGTGTATAGCAATGCAAGAGATTACTGTGTATTAATTTTGTATCCTGCAACTTTACCAAATTCATTGATTAGCTCTAGTAGTTTTCTGGTGGCATCTTTAGGATTCTCTATTTATAGTATCATGTCATCTGCAAACAGTGACAATGTTACTTCTTCTTTTCCAGTTTGTATTCTTTTTATTTCGTTTTCTTCTCTGATTGCCATGGCTAGGACTTCCACAACTATGCTGAATAATAGTGGTGAAAGTGG